CCTTTTGTAACATTGTTTCATTGGGATCTTCCACAAGCACTCGACGATGAGTATTCCGGATTCCTAAGCTCCAAAGCTGTGTAAGATACAAAATCAGGGAGTCTAGTTTTAATCTAATCAGTACTGTCATAATATTCAAAATCATATCACTTAATTAAATGCTAAAATCAATGTATTAGAGATGATTTTCGTGACTATGCCGACTTTTGCTTCAAAACATTTGGCGATCGAGTGAAGCACTGGTGCACAATGAATGAACCATATTCGTTTAGTACCAATGGCTACAATGGCGGTACCTTCGCTCCAGGCCGATGCTCGAACTATGTAGGAAACTGTACGCTCGGTAACTCCGGTACCGAACCCTACACGGTAGCCCATAACTTGATTCTTGGACACACAGCTGCTGTGAAAGTGTACAGGAAAAAATATCAGGTTTGTGTGCATACCTGGAGCTGTGTAATCATTTACGAATAACCGAATAACAATTTCAATTTATTCCACTTACCATGTTAGAAAAGGAAATGATCAAGTGCGTTTTTTTTATATATGTTTTTTTTTTTTTTTTTAAATTGCAGGCTTCTCAAAAGGGGCAAATTGGGATTACAATAGTGACAAATTGGTTCATACCAAAATCTCCAAAATCAGAGGAAGACCGCAAAGCAGCCTATAGACAACTTGATTTTCTCTTTGGGTGGTGCGTTCTTGGCACAAATTTTTATCTAGCTAGCTAGTTAGTTTATCGTCGTGGTTAATTTTGTACACAGTTGTATTATATATGACAATTAATATGATAGGTTACATCACGGCGTGCACGTACCGTTTATTCGTTAATTTCTTACTGGTTTAAATTAATTATCGATCCTGCAGTATCTTACGCATACATTCTAGCACGTATATATAATACAAGTTTCAACCAACAAAAAATTATCATTTCTCCGATGTGTACATCATAATAATGTGCTCCTACCCTTTTCCTTATATTTTACCTTAAAAATCCTATTTTGGCTATCAGGATATTAACTGTTATATGATTTTAATCATCACAAATCTGTGCAGGTTTGCGCATCCACTTACTTACGGAGATTATCCTGAGATTATGAGAGCTATGGTGGGAAATCGACTGCCCAAATTTACTAAAGAGCAAAGTACATTGGTGAAAGGGTCACTAGATTTTCTTGGTGTGAATTACTACACTACAAATTACGCAGCAAACAATCCATCTCCGAACAAAGTCAACTTTAGTTACAGTGGAGATAGCCAAGCCATTCTCACAAGTAAGCTAAGAAAACAATATATATATATATATATATATATATATATATATATATTTTTTTTTTTCTTAGTCACGCTTTTTGTAATTTAATTATTTTCTATCTTTTAAGCCTCGATATATAAATACACACTAAAGGGCCACATAATTTTTTTGCCTCAGCTTCCAAGGGCGGACATCCTATCGGTACACCGGTACTTTCTTTGCAAATTCTGTACTTTGTTGCATAATTAATTTTTTACGACCTATTGATAACAAAAATGGGAAAATTTTTCTTCCACTAATGTTCAACAAATTAATGTTCCTATTTTAACACATTACTAATGAAATTGTGTGTTGTTGTTTCACAGACAGCTTTGAATTGGCTATTCATCTATCCTCTGGGACTTTATGACCTTGTGCTGTATATAAGGGACAAATACAATAATCCTCCAGTTTACATTACTGAGAATGGTAATTAATAGAAGTTGTTCATCTTTAATATTCTAATGACAAAGTCTCCATTTTTGTGGATTTTTTTTTTAATAATTAAATAACATTCAAAGCTGATTTTGTTCAATCTTCCTTAATTTACAGGTCTTGCTGATGCAAATAATGCATCATTGCCGGTTAAAGAAGCTCTGAAAGATGGGTTAAGGATAAGATACTCTGCTCGCCATCTACAATATCTTTCAAAAGCGATCAAGTGAGTCCTCTCGCTATATTCTGCATACCAAAACACTGTCATTTACTAGAAATTTGTTCCTCTTTTGTTTTTGAAAACGCCAAAATTGACAACTGCTTGTCAAACCTCAAACAAACTAGTTTTTTAAATATTGTGAGAATGGTTGTTTTGGTTTTTTTCGCTTTGGCAGGGAGGGAGCTAATGTGAAGGGATACTATCAGTGGGCATTTTGGGACGATTTTGAATGGGATGCTGGATATACCGTTCGTTTTGGCATGATTTATGTTGATTTCAAGAACAATTTAAAGAGATATATGAAATTCTCGGCTTATTGGTTCAAGATGTTCCTTCGGCACTAAGTTGAGGTTGAGTTGATTAGCCCCTACTTCGGTTTTCTTAATTGGTTGCTTTATGAGTGAGAGAAGTTTTTACAATACGAGACCTATATCTGTGTCTCCTCTCTTGTATCTTCTTCTGTAATAAATAATTCCCATGTTTTTTCTAAGGTTGGACTTGTTTAATAATGAACGAGATGTTTTCCTTTGTCTTTACAGCATGTTGGGAAAATCTGATATCATTACCAATTGCTTTATAAACTTCTGAATATGTTTTTTTTTTTTTTTTAAGGAAAAATCTGAAGAGAAATAAATTTTATTGCGAACAATCTTTGCTTTATGCCTAAAAAAACATTTAATTGGTGGCGAACTATGCATAATTAATGTATTTGAATGGGCCAAATTCAAGCATAGACTTGCTTCTTCCATTTATCTCTTTCAAATGATTTTAGTAGTGCAAACAAAATTTGCACCTACACAAGGAGAGGGCCATTTTCCTCAAACGGATTTTGTACACTGCTAACCCAAAATCTGTTTAAGGGCCATTTCCCCAACCCCATTCTAAACTTAATTTATATTTTTTCAATAATAAAACATATTTTGGAATCAGTTTGTGTATTAATCAAAATTAATTTTTTTTTATGAATTTTAAAAATGCACCTTTTACATTTGCTTTATATATTCAGAGTAATAATAAGTTTTTTTTAAAAAAAAAGCTTGTTCAATATTTTCTTCGTTCTCAAATCTAACCAACCGGCCCAAGAATTTGTAATTCTTAATTTGTTCTCTCTTTTCTGGATCCAGGCCCGTCTTCTATAAAACGGGAGCGAAAATCTGATCATCCTTTCTTACCTTATTTTTGTTAAGCAGGAAATATATTTTATTTCTTACCTTAATCCTTCCTTGCTTGAAGGAGAAAGGAGTGAAAATTGATCGTTTATCAACCATCTATCGAAAACAATTAAATAAAAAAAAAAAAAAGAAGAAGAAGGAGAAATCATTGCATTTTCTGCTTAATATCGACATTTTGGGATTCAAAAATCAGGTTGACGGCTTTTAGAAGTTGTTGCGCTTTTTAGCTTCAAAGGAAGCCCAACATCAGCAACAAAACACCAACCCACCTACACGCAAGCCAAGAGCTGCAAAACGCCATGGCTAAAATTTCAAAAGCAGACCCTAAGCTCAGTCAATTATGTTAATTGGGTAGCCACAGCATGACACACTTAGTATTGAAGGGAATTAAGGAATTCGGTTTTTTTTTTTTTTTTTTGTTTGCTTACAAGTAAGTGCCTTAGGATTGACAAGCCATTTTGCTAGTTTAGTCCGATACTGTTAGAAAGTTATATGAATTACATATTTGAACTTTATCTAATAACTTAAATTTTTAGATAAGATTATTCTTTGGTATAGTATCGAGCTTTATTTATCAAGTGTTTAAAAGTTCAAATCTTATCATTTCTATTACTCTTTAAATCATATCTTAAGAAATTTTTAGATGAAATATATTTATCTCAAAAAAAATTTTGATTTTTCTCTCTCTCCTAAATCTCAAAAATATAAAATAAAATAAAATTTGTTATTGTATTAATATTTATGGTGCAAAATTTGGAGACGATAATAAGAAAAAAGAAAATAGATCTAACTCTATAATGTGAGTGTTTGATAATCGTCTCTCTAAATATAATTTTATTTTTTTAATTTAACTTTTCAAGTAAAAGTTACTTTAAAAAAAAAAATTTACAGGTTCACACATCCTAAAATTATTAATTTATAATTAGGAAAAAAAATTGAGACCCTAGGATTTAAAATTATAACTACTTGGTGAATCGAACACTATATATCATATAGAAAAACAATATAATTTTTTTAAAAAAAGTATACAGATTTAAATGAATTCAAAATATTTTTGTTCTACTAATGTGGATGCATATATACAAGTGTGAGAAAGTAAAAATTGAATATATAAAATAAATCTCCTCCTAAATTATAAAAAATTGATACAGTAATATTGTTGTGATAAATTGGAAAGATTAACGAAGTAATTTTTATAACTTGAATGATTGATTATGTAAGATTACATGGATCATGGAAAATCTAGAGTCATAATTGCTGATCTGATTTTCATGACTTTAATATTTGAGTTGATGAGATTGTATGGATCATAGAAGATGTGAAGCCATAATTGCTAATGTCTGGTTTATTCTTAACGGTAAGAAATTGAGTTGTTAATCATACTAGAAATGATTTTTATATTTCTCTCTTATAAGACTCTATCCTGTTTGTACCTTATTTAGCTTAAAAGATAAAAAATCATACCCAATGATACAAAGTAAAAAAATATATTAAGGTCTAGAGACGGCGGTTCACCTACTGCACTTTCAAATACCCTCAAGCGTCAGTACGTCACCTTCCTAGCTACTTGTTGCTGCTGCTTCTCTCTACCCTCGATGATCTAACATGAGTGTTAAATTTTGTCTCACATTAACAATTAATTACTTACGGATTCTACTATGTGTCTCCTTGCCATACTTACGTGTGATTATATTTTTTTAATTGGAGTATGATGTAGCAAATTATTCTTCCATTTGAATGAATGATGACAAAGAATAGTTCAATAAACAACACAGCACGTACATACTTTGGATTTAGCGGACTCCAATCATGCCTTGAATTAGATAGTCTTTACATTTTCCTTGAAGGGTTCTTTTTTATGCCATCATTAATATCACTAATGTCGGTTCAAGGGTCTCTTCTGCTAGTCCTCTTGGTCCTAATCAACTGGTTGGCTTGGACACAGCTCGTCTTGGCTTCCTTTAACAGGACTAGTTTCCCAGAAGGTTTTGTTTTTGGAACAGCCTCGTCTTCTTACCAGGTATGAACAAAGCGTGCTTGGTGATTTGAAATTCAAAAATATTGTAAAATGTTCCTTTATGAGCTGTATTTCTAAGTGTTTTAACTTTCATTTTTTATTTCTTTTTAAATGATCTTTATAGTATGAAGGTGCAATAAAAGTAAATGGCAGAAGCCCAAGCATATGGGACACCTTCACTCATAAATATCCAGGTTGTGCATACTATACCTATCTCCATATATCTGAAACCAAAGGGCAACCATGGTTTATATTTTCTTCATTTGATGCTTAAATTGAGTGAATCATTCCTGTCGTTTTAATTAAAGAAATTAGTTGATTAATCCTCGTGGTTTCAGAAATATTACATTCAATCCTTATATTTTTATATAAATCCGTTTTTAACTTAGTACTTTCTTCGAAATTCCTTTTCAATTTATTCTTTTTTTTCCCTTGTTGAAAAATAGAAAAGGAAAATACAAGTAGTTAAGATGGAAATTTTGAATTAATTTTAAATAGACAAAAAGAAGTATATGTGTCATTCTAATTAATCATTACAATTATACTAAAATTATTGAGTACTATTCACTGCACTATTTGAAATACTATTCACCCACACTTATTTTACTATTTATTCAAATTCATATGCACTATTTCTTTCACAATGCAGTAATATTTTTGTAGTTTTCAAATATTTTTAAGGCATTTATTATGAAAGTTTTTACGACATTACACTTTAGTCCCTCTTTTTAAAATTGTTTTTTAGTCCCAATTTTTTTTATTTGATTTTGGTTCCACTTTTTTGTTTCATTTTAGTCACTTTGGTCCTTGTTTTTTTTTTCTCTGTTTTTTTAATTAAAAATTTTAAGGCAAAAAGATGTTTAGAAAAAAAAATTTATAAGATAAGGTTTTAGCTAAAAATGTGGGTAGAGATATATAAATAATTTTTTTAATAAAAATTATGAAAATATAAAAAATAATTAGTCAAATATAGAATTTTGATTAAAAATAATAAAATTAAATGAATTTTTATTTAGTTTTGATTTGGTATATTTTTATAGACGCATAATATAACACGAGACATCAAAATAAAATAATTTTATGTATTTTAAAAAAACTAGTGCTTAGCTCATTAAAATTGTTTGATTCTTAATTTGTTAAAGTTTTTGGTGGCATTGCAGACAGGATAGTAGGTGGTGCCAATGGAGATGTAACTGTTGATTTCTATCACCGATACAAGGTTTCTAATCTCCCTCTCTATTATGGCTCTATGGACTCTTTTATATATTATCGTGTCTTCGTTCTGATTACAAGAATCACACTAGGTGATTTTTAACACCTTGAAAATCCTATCTTTATGGTCACAATTTCTCCCCAAACTATCATACAGTTCTTAATTGGATCCTCAAACAAAATGATTTCTTTATTGGATCCCCTAATTATTGGACAATGCCCAATAAATTCTACTTTAAAAACTTTTCCTTTAAAGTCATAAAAAAATAGGTCCTAATTGTTTCAAGGTGATGCCATTTTTGCCATAAATTTAATGATGAAGTTAATCGGATAATGTGTGATAGGTTGGGGATCTAATTGGAATTTTCTTTATTGGGACCCAATTGAGAATCATGTGACTATTGGGGGACTCATATGTCATTTTATCAAGTATCAATTTCATGTCAATTTTCAAACATAAACCAAACACAAATAAAGACATTAGGTAGGAATTTTTATTGTTGTCAATAAATGTAAACATTTATTGTTTCCGAGGAATACACTTTTCTAAACAATTCGGGGAAACAACAAATTGTCAATAATTACAATTATTTTGAAAAGTGATTCCAGGAAGACATCTGACATTCTTGATACAAACAACATCTACTAATAAAAGATTTTGAAAAAGCTCCAAAATTACCACATATGAAGTTCTTTATGAGGAAGTTTTCTCATTTTTAAATTTTTCTTAAACCAAGCTGTGATGTATTTTTCTTTCTATGTGTTATAAATAATTGATCTATATTATGATAAATAGTATGATGCGAAGATCATGAAGAATATAGGACTGGATGCTTTCAGATTCTCTATCTCATGGCCTAGAGTGCTACCACGTAAGTTCATTGATTAAAACAATAAATTGCATTCACTATTTTCACACAAATATTAACACCACTTTTATTTTCCTCTATATATTGAAAAAAAAAAATTGATAGGCATAATATAACTTTATTGTTACAGGTGGGAAGCTGAGTAGGGGAGTGGACAAGAGAGGGATCGAGTTCTACAACCATCTTATCAATGAGCTCCTATCACATGGTAAAAAAAAAAAAAATTATTTGGCATTACTTGCTTAATAATCAACAGAAGAAAATTTAGGAGTCAGGCCATGAAATTTAGCACCACAATTTTAAAATTCTAATGTCTAGCTTATGAAATCACCCGCAGGCATCCAGCCTTTTGTGACTTTATTTCATTGGGATCTTCCTCAAATCCTAGAAGATGAGTATGGAGGCTTTCTAAGCCCTCTAATTGTGTAAGTACAAAAAAAAAAAAAAAAAAATTGGCGTGAAGGAAAATTACCTATCTACACCAATTATTTCACTTTTTTTTTTTTTGGCTCATTAAAAAAAATAAAAAATAAAAAATAAAAGAACAGCATGCATGTGGATAATTATTTGATGCAGGGAGGATTTTAAGGACTTTGCAGAACTTTGCTTCAAAGAATTTGGTGACAGAGTGAAGCATTGGATCACTGAAAATGAGCCATGGAGTTACAGTGTCCCTGGTTATGACCTTGGCATACTTGCCCCTGGCAGGTGTTCCAAATTTATGAATTCGGCATGCCCGGCTGGAAATTCTGCAACTGAGCCTTATTTGGTTGCCCACCATTTATTACTTGCTCATGCTGCAGCGGTCCAAGTCTACAAGGACAAATACCAAGTTAGTATATCTAATCAAGATCCTGACAAGTCCATTATTTTTAGTTTCCAATGTTCAATAGCTTTTGTTGAATGCAAAGTCCAATATTCTTTGTTTAATGGCCGGCGTGTGTGCGTATTATGGGGAACATTAATTGGTGCCATTTATGATGTGTTGTATTTCGTTGAATATTTAAGTTAGTTTAAAAGAGACAAAAATTAAGTCTATTAGTTATTATTATTATTTTTGTAATTGTTGATGATTTGGACAATAAGATAGAAATTGATAACCTAGCTAAAAAGGTGTGTTGTTTGTTCAAATGAGAAGGCATCTCAAGAGGGGAAGATTGGGATATCGTTAGCTGTTTATTGGATGCTACCTTACTCTAACAGTCAAGCTGACAAGGAGGCATCACAAAGAGCCCTTGATTTCATGTATGGATGGTGAGTGCTGATTATTAGGATATCTGTACGTTCGAGTTAATTATAACTTAGTTTTTGTAAATTTAGCAATACTAATTGTTTAGTCCTTGTGATTTAAAAAACTATATAATTCGTACCTATATTTTCAAACCCATTTATGGCTTAGTTTTTTTTTTATTATTATTATCAAATTCACATTATTTCACCATTTATTTTATTTTATTTTATGTTAAATATAAGAATTGAAAAATACTAAAATAAAAGATAGATAGTTAGGACGGGAATTTTTTTTATTTATCAGAAGCCCATGGGTTTTTTTAGACTACACAATGGAGAATAGTTCTTCTCATTATATAATTAATAAAAAAAATAAAATTATTAGATATCGAATCTTAATCCATTAAAGAAGCAAACGGAGTACACAACAGCTAGACATAACCTGTTTGTGTTGTTATACTAGATAGTGAATAGTTGTTAAGAACTATTTAATTAGTTTTTGATACTACAAAAGATTAATTAAATTGACCGAGTTATAATTAGCTCTATCCTCTAGCTAGTGTACCTTTATTTTCGTCCTAAGATTTTTTTTTTTTCCTCTAAGACTAAAATCTCTTGGTAGAACTCATAAAATCATATGTCCTTGGATATGTTGTTTACTTACCAAACTCATAACTAAATTCGAGTAAAAATTATAAAAAAAATCTCCAGAAATATCATGAAATTACAATGATCATCTAAAAATTTGAAAATATATTGTCAGAAAATCCTTTCGTCCAAAGTATCTTTAATATTAAGGGAATTGATTTTAAAAAGATTAAAGATATTTTAATACAAAATGAGTTTTTTGTAATATTTACTTAATTAATCATAAAAGGATTTTTGTCAAATTTTTAAATTTTTGGATGATTGGATTAATTTTATAATATCTAAAGAGGATTTTTGTAATTTACCCCTAAATTTTACGGTGAATATAAATCATGCATCAATTTATTATTATCAGGTACATGGACCCTCTTGCTTTTGGAGATTATCCTGACAACATGCGCGCCCTTGCTGGAGATAGACTGCCAAAATTCACCAATGAGCAATCTATGTTGGTGAAAGGATCTTATGATTTTATTGGGTTAAATTACTACACAACTTTTGCTGCAGTTCATCTCCCTAAATCTAATTTAGTCAATGTTAGCTACTCCACTGATTCTCTTAGCAATTTAACAGGTAAGTTAAACCTTTCATCTCAAAGCGAGTAGCTAGGTTAGTTTGAATTTTGAAGCTGATAGAAAATTTTGATTCAATTTTATTTTTATTTTTTTCACTTGTTAACTTTGTTTTGCGTAGATGACCGCAATGGAGTTCCCATTGGTCCAAAGGTATAATATATACGAAAAAAAATTATGAAAGGATAATAATTAAAAAAAAAACAATTTGTTATTTATTTCGTTTTTCATGAATATCTTTGCAGCTCCGTCAATTTTAATGTGAAATTTTCAACAATTGTATCTATAAAATTGCAGGATGGTTCGCTCTGGATGAATGTATATCCGAGAGGGTTAAGAGATCTTCTTAAGTACACGAAAGAAAAATACAATGACCCAACAATTTACATTACAGAGAATGGTAGAAACAAACATCACATGATCAAACAAGAAATGATTTATGAATAAACACTATTTAATTATATTTAAAGTTTATTTATTTAATTAATTATGCCTTTATCTTTTATTCAGGGATTGATCAGTTCGATAATGGTACCTCACCACTCAAAGAACTCCTCAAGGATTCAGCAAGAATCAATTATTTCAACCGCCATCTTTTGATGGTTCGGAGAGCCACTAAGTGAGTGTTTTGAGTAATAAAAAATAATTAATTTGCCTTTCTGATCCATGGGCTTACATAATCACTCTAGTTATATAAGTAATTAATATCTATTTCTGATTAAGAGATTTTTTTTTTTCGCTAGATTTCATGTATCAACGATCTTGATTTCCACTTGGCCAGAAATGGTCAAAAGTATTAATTTGTAACAAATTTATCTTTTTGGTGTCTTGGTGACAGGGAGGGTGTCAATGTTAAGGGCTATTTTGCATGGTCATTGCTGGATAACTTTGAATGGGCTGCTGGCTACACTATGAGATATGGGATAAACTTGGTAGATTTTAAAAATGGTTTGAAAAGATACCCAAAGTGCTCGGCTATTTGGTTCAAGAATTTCCTAAGTAAACAGACAAAATACAACGTCTTAAACAGTACTAATATTATTCTTTAGCAGAATATATATATGGTCTGAATTAGCAATTTATCTATATGCTAATGGAGAAATAATTTAAATGTTCCATGAGTTTTCTTGATTGTGAATATCATTGAACTTGCTTTTATGAGATATAATGCGTTAATTGAATCGAATGATTTGTCATAGCTCTCAAAGCACTCTCTCTCTTGTTCTTCAGTTCCCACTTGATCTTTAATTCAAATCTTACTTCTTCAAAGCTACTACATTCCTTGTACCACCTCTTGCGCCACTATCGTTAAAGATTGAACCAATAATCTAGTGATCCGAGACACACGTTAAATCAAGTCTCGAGTTGGATCTATCTAACAATACTATATACGAACCTTTCTCGCAATTTCTTTTTCAAGATCTTCATTGGTCAATGCCTTCTATTTAGGGATGACACTGGTATGCTCGAACGGGTTTCTTGTGCATTAGCTTTGTGGCTATCCAACGTTGGTGGTATTTCAAAAAATAATAAGTTGAAATTTGTTTATTTGAGGATTTGAGTTAAGTTAAGTTTTTGAAATCGCTGACTAGTATTAAAGAAATTAAAATTGATATTAGTTTAGAGATTATATAATAAAGAATTAGTTATATTTTTGAAAAGATATCAATCATCCAAAAATATTTTTTCGAGAAAAGGTACTACGTGTAGTTTAATCCTATCTTATCACCTAAAAGTTTTATTTTTACCAAAATATTTCTGAATCAATTTCTATGTTTTTATATCTAAGTCAAATTAAAAATTTTTGTGACATCATATTAAATCAATCGTCGGATCTCAATGTTAGGAGTCTCGTTAATCCAATATCGAGATCTAATTTAAGTCTCGACATAATCGGTATGTCAAAGAACGACCTAATTACTAAAATATGATTGATTTTGAATTAACATCGATCCTTATTAGATAGAAGACTCGTTAAAATTGCTTAAAATGATTTTTTTTTCTTTTTTGTTCTTTTCAAGTTTTATTTTAAGCTATGCAAGGAAAACATTATCAAAATTATTATTTTAATTTTTTTTATGCGGCATCGTATTAAATTAACATTGAGCCTCAAAATTTGGAAGTTTCGTCAATTTAGCATGGGATTTGAATTAAAGTCCTAACATGATTAGCATGTCGAGGAATAACCTAATTAACTAAAAGTATTTACATAAAATCCTGAATAAAATCGACCGATCTTGACTCTTTTTTTTTTTTTTAGCATTTTTAACACTAAACAAATATATCGAAGCACCGTCTATCCCTAATAAATATGAGATTTGTTGGTCCGACAAGATAACCGACTCAACTCCATACATTAAAATTCACAACCTAAATATTTTTAAATTTTCTAATACAAATAAAATTAACATTATCTAAAATAATATTATAAAGTAATTAAAAAATAAATAGGTAAGAGAAAAAAACTAAATGATCACTAAAGAGTGACTAAAATGCCCCTATGATGCTACTAGAAAATGACCAAAATGCCCTTAGGCAAAATTACCAAAATGCCTTTAGCACGTATTTGTATGCGTTGCCACTATCCAGTTGTTGTTGGTGGCTACTCCAAGCACGTGGAAGGGTACGCCGGGTGGAGAGAGGCTCACTCTACCCATATGTGGTGGTGGCACAAGTCATCGTTGATGGAGGAGAGAGATCGGCATCGTTAAAGTTTCGATTGAGTCTCCCTCTTCTTGTCTCTTCAATTTCGACGAGGATACTTGATTTTAAAGCTCCAAATCCAACCAAAGATGTCCCTAAGACCTGTTAAAATGTTTCTTTAGCCTTAAAATGGGGTAATTTGGTCGGAAAATGATAATTGAAACGAGTCGGGGCTAAATGGGTCGACCGACTCTTCTCCTTTTCAATTTGGTAAATTTTGATGATTTTTCACTAGGGTTTCAAAGGAAAAATGCTTCTAGGATGGTGAGAGACACTTTATGATGGAGGGGGTTGTTGGTATGATCGGAGAACAACAATAATAGCGAGTACAAATCAAGTCGGCTCATCGACCTTCTCTCCTCGATTTCTCCCTCCTCCTTCGACCTCTTCTTTCCTAACCGAGTTGAAAATGATAGATCTAGTGGTGAGCTATCGATTTATGGTGGTGGATCAAAACAATTTTGATAGAAGGACAATTGATTTGAGATAGGAAACGCCGACGAGTCCGTAGGTTAACCAACGGAGTTGCCCAAGTAGAGTCGCCTCTTTTAAGAGGTGTTTGACAAAACAATTTTTCCTTTTTTTCTTGCTCTTAAGATCCGTGTCATGTAAATTTTTTTTATAGAGATGGTGAATAGTGAATTTTCTACATTTTAGTTGTTTTTTGTGGATAAGGGTGATGTGTATTTTAGTTAAATAATTATTTTTTGTAGGTACATGGGTGATGGAAGCTAAATTTTTTTCCTAGGTAGAAAGATGAGTGGGAGGCTACGATTTTTTTTAGGTAGAGGAATAATTGTGGAGGCTTTTTGAAAAATGAATTGAAGAGTGTTTTTATAGGGATTTTATAGGGTTTAGGATAAAATCAATTTAGGTCTTTCTTTGGATATTTTTCTCAATTTCAATATATGTTCAATTATTTTTCTCTAATTAGCTCCTTGATTGAAATTGTTTAATCCTTATTTTTTTATTTCTTTTAATTTTATAATGATTGATTCTCAATCAAGTTTGTTGATTTTTATCCCTTTTCAATTATATCACATTTGAATGTTATTTGATTATTGCTTTTCACATCATTTTCAATTGGATCCCAAACCATCTTATCAATTTTTTTATTTTTTTATTAAAAATGAAGGATAATTCTAAGAAATTAAAATATTAAAAATTTATAAAAATGTCTAAAAATCATAAAAAAGATAACTGTGCAAACACTCCAATTTTTTTTTTTTTGGAATTTTTGATTTATTTTTGAACATCAAGGGTGGTCAAAAAAGGATTATGACAAGCTTTAAACTTGTAAATCCAATACTATTCCAATTCCCATAAGGGTGAACATGGGGGCCTACTATATATGGTCTGTTTTGTTTTTTCTTTTGGACTACGAATGGGATGTTGGTTTATGCCGCTCGGTTTGGCCTGACTTATGCTGATTACAAGAATAATTCGAAAAGATATCTCAATTTACTCTGCTTTTTGGTTAAAGATGTTCCTCCACATATAAATAACAAGTTACAATTTTTTTAAAAAAAATAGAATTTTAGAACCTAATTTTCTTATAGCACATGCTTAATTAGATAAAAGGTAATAAATTCTATAAAAAAAAATTAACAATAAAGACAATTATGTCCAAAATAATGAAATCTGCTCCCACATCAGAACCACAATGAATTCATCCAAATCAACTTTTTCAATAAATTTGCAATGTTTCAGAAATATTTCTTCCATTTTCCTATATGCGCCGCAATTACACATCCCATAAATGAAATATGTGTGGCTGTTTGAAAGAGCACCACATTTATATATGTACTCATTTTGTGAGAAAATACAAATAGTGTAATTAAAGGCTAGAAACTGGGGGAGAAGAAATGAAGTCCGCAGATGAAATTGCAATAGATGACATATATAGCATGCTCCAATATGGAAGGAAGAGAAGCAACTAGCGAGAGAGAGACAGAGAGAGAAAGAGCCATAGAACAGCGGATGTGTTATCGAACCAAAAATAGCCCCCTGACCCATAAAACTATAAATGGACCATCAACATCCCAACAGATTGATTGACAGCAAATAATTATGATCGATCCTTTAAAAAAAGATATGATTATATAATTGTTATTCATACGCTACAGTTTGGGATGCCCTCATGATCAGATGATCAGTTGGCTTTCAGTTTGGCATTTAATGTGCTTAGGCGCCTTTTTTAGCTGAATGAGCTTATCCCAGGAAATAAGGTGGATCTTTTGATAACCATCTGAGCTACCCCATATAAAATCATGATAGACTTTTTCAATAGCATTGATAGTGGTAGTTGGAAATCTAATTGTCTGCATGCTGCAAATGAGAATGGTTGATAAAACTGATTGAGTCACGGTGACTCTTCCTGCAAGAGAGAGGTGTTGTGACTGCTAACATGAAAGCATTTTGCTTAATTTATCCACCACATGATTATTAGACATATTAACTCTATTGTGGTGAAGAGGCACGCCCAAGTATCTACCCAAATCATTGGTTAAGCGGAAGCCTGACTTTTGACTGAGAATCCTGGCTTTGCTCTTCGAAACATTAACACTGCAGAACATTTTAGTCTCTGTCACATTCACCTTCTGCCTAGAGATGGAGCAAAAGTTGTGAAACAGTTTCATAATCACCCTCACTTGTTTAGTATCAGCATCAGCATACAAAATTAAATCATCAACAAAGAAAAGATGAGAAATAGGCGGTCCGTCATTGCTTAGATAAATTGGTTTTCAATTCTCATTCTGAACCTGAGTTTGGATTAACTGAATTAGCCTTTCCATGCATATGACAAATAAGTAAGGAGACAAGGAGTCTCCTTATCGAATTTACCAGAAGGATCGAAAGGACTTGTAGTTATGCATATTTTATCTCATATTTTATATTTAAAATTAATGAGTTGTCGCTCAGTTAATATTACTATTGCTTTTCTTCTTAAAAAAACCCCGGAGTTGTAACATTTCTTTTGTAAAAAAATAAAAAAATAAAAAAATCGTACTTGAAAAGATTTAATTCAAACACAATTTTTTTTTTTTTTTAACATTGAGGGAACCTTAGTACAACTTTAGTACACTAAAAATATACTGTTTGGGTCTCCTGATAGCTAGTGGCAAAGCAAGAAATATTTATTAAGAAAGCAATTTTTTCCATAGATAAGAAATAAAAAGTTACTGAGGGCAGTTAATACAATTTAATTTGGGAGTTACATGAAAAGGGATAATTATGAAGACTAAAGTGGGAACTATAAAACATTAAGTTTTCCCTCTTGTCTGATACCTAGTTTCGTCACTGAATCAGACTAAAAATCTCTTTAAAGTCAACGATAGCAAACAATTTCTTGGTTACACAAAGTGTGATAGCTAGGCCGCCAATGTGAAAATTAAAAGCAGAACAGTTTTCAAGCAATCTCTCTAATAATATATTGAAGAATGCAAATAAAAAGAACAAAAAAAAACATATTTTTAATGCTTTTTAATTTGGTTAATAAAAGCAACATGTGATGCTGATTGCTGGGCCACGATCTGTGCAACAAATAAAAATAATTGTAAAAGATAGACCAAATTGCCAAGAAAAATATTTAATCTAGATGTCTGAACTGCTAGTTATATTGTTCTATTAAATAAAATTGCACTCATACCATCAAAGGATTAAAAATAACAAATAAAACGTGATTTGTTTTTATAAATGTTATAGATTTTATGGATTGGACTATCCTCCACCAATTCTATCTATAAATTGGGTAGAGTGTAGAGGCATTGTTGATCGTGAAAGTCAGCAATGGCAATTAGAAAGCCTTTCCTAGTTTTGTTCCTAGCAATAACTTGCTTGGTAGCAAGCACCCATGGTGCAAAACCAACCCCTCTTGTTCCATTTAGCAGAAGCAGTTTCCCTCCTGGTTTTATGTTCGGAGCTGGATCTGCTGCTTACCAGGTTTCTTTATTCTTCTATCAGCCCTTTCAAAACTGAGGGAAACTAGAAAACAGAAAGCATATATTGTAGTAACTTCATTGGCATATATGTTAATTTTTTTTATTTTTTTTTGTTCTTCAGATTGAAGGAGCGGCACTGATTGATGGAAGAGGATTTAGCATATGGGATGAATTCACTAGGGAACATCCAGGTTTGTGAGTGTGATTGGTATGCATGGAGGTTTAATTTCTTTTTCAAAGAAATTAAAATAATAATAAGTATTCAAATTAATATAAATGTAGTTCAAATGTTCTTATTCTTCAATTTTATTTTTCCCTTCTTGATGTATAGTTGATACGTTCTTTTCCCAATAATTAAAAAGAAAAAAAAAGACGACATTATGCGACCGTAATTAGATTTATTTATTTATTCGTTCATTAAAAATCCTATCAAGATATATAAAGAATGTTATAAGCTTGGCTGAATTTCTTCCCCGACAAATATTGTAGAAGTATAATTTTGCCTCTAATCTTCGAGGGACACCGACAATAGATTGACTTCTTCCATTTTCCTTATTCTCAGATGTATATAGAACCGTATGTAAGCAATAAATTTTAGAAAAGAAATAAAATAATATGGTTTTCTATTATTTAATTTTTTGGATCGAGTTCGGTTGATAATTTTGGATCGAGTGCACCACTAAGATGTAGACCTTTTTATTTTTTAAAAAAATATATATATTTCTGATAGTTTTAAGTAGGAGGGATATGGTAGAAAATGATGGATATTTTGGAACTCAATTGAGGATTTTTATTTTTATTTTCAAAATCAAGATACGAATTTTAGTAAAGGGATTGATTTGTCATTTTCCTGTCAAAGTTTTTTGAATACATTTAATCTCTTTGGTAGAGTGGTAAATGCGTTGTTTTATTTAGTGTTGTGAGAACCCAATTAATGGCCCCCTTTCGACTAATCCATATTAATGCTTAACACCGAAAATGTTACAAATGAAATTGGAAGAAAAAAAAACATTCCTTTTCAAAATGTTTATAAGGTTGGATTTTTGTAATATAATAAACTGAACGAGTAGAATAATGGTAGATTCTTCTAATGCTACTTGGTGGGTAGATGGAATATATGAATGTTCATAATAACAGCTATATATTTAATTAGTTTATTTACCTTCAAAGCAATGTGGTTTTTTAAATGGAAAAATGTAAAACTTGTTAATAGGCCATTTTTAATATAATATTGCTTTGATTAGCTAAGTTTTTAAGCATTTTATCATGTTCTATTGTTAATTGACAGAAAAAATTTGGGATCACAGCACTGGAGATGTGGCAATCGATTTTTATCACCATTTTAAGGTGTTCCCCCACTATATATATTTTAAACAAAAAATTATCATATTCCTTACTCAATTTTTTTTTTTTTAAGTTCTTTTGCTTGGTTTGAATCAATTTAATTACAATGATTGTGAAATGTTACAGGAGGACATAAAATTGATGAAGCGTATTGGTTTGGACACCTTCAGATTTTCCATTTCATGGAGTAGAGTATTACCCAGTAAGATTACTAATTTGTTTTCTATATTACCATTTTCTTCTCTATGAGTCATGTCTTACATTATTGCTTCTGTTTTCAGAGGGAAAAGTTAGTCGAGGGGTGAACCAGTTGGGTGTTAAGTTCTACAATAACGTCATCAACGAGCTTCTTCACAATGGTCCAATTCCCATCTTTTTTTCCCATCCATATTGTTGTTCTAACTGTCTGCACGTATTCATGAGTAAATTATTCTTTAGTCCCTTGATTTGAAAAAGATTATAATTTAGTCCTTTATATTTGATTATTTAAATTCTTAAAGGAAAACCTACATACACACACGTCAAGACTTCTAAAAAAGAAAACGGTCAACGAAATTTAAAGGACTAAGTTATAATTGTGTTCAGAACTTAGGTATTAAAGAATGATTTATTCTATATTTGATATTTAAAAAAAAATGTTTCTATATATACTTTTATTAATTTTGACTAATATGAGCAGGTATAAAGCCCCTTGTAACTTTACTCCATTATGATCCTCCACAAACTCTCTTTGAGGAGTACGGTGGATTCCTAAACTCCAAGATAGTGTAAGTACATATATACTTGGCTCAGAGATTCTGATAAAAGATACTTTTTAATGTCACTAAACTATATATAAATCTCAAATTTGGAAAATAGGAATGATTTTGCAGACTACGCAGACTTCTGCTACAAAACATTTGGTGATCGAGTGAAACTTTGGATAACAATGAACGAACCAAATGGACTTGCTATTAATGGTTACACCATAGGTACCTTTGCACCCGGTCGATGTTCTAAAACTCTTGGAAACTGCACCGGCGGCAACTCTGCCATCGAGCCCTACGTTGTTGCCCACAACTTGATTCTTAGCCATGGAGCTGCCGTGAAATTATACAAGGAGCAGTACCAGGTTTATATCCTTCAAAATACTTCTGCTTCTTTTTTCTTGATTCAATGGGTGAGGATTCACTTTATTAAATGAACATATCAGATACAAAAATGTTAAGCTAAACATGCTTTTGTGTATATTAATTACGTTTCAACTAATTTATGTGAATTATGTGCAGGCTATTCAAAAGGGACAAATTGGTATTACAATTGTAAGCCATTGGTTTATACCAAAATTTAATACAAGTGCCAACCGAGTAGCTGTTTCTAGAGCTTTGGATTTCATGTTTGGATGGTAATCTAACACATACCGATCGAGTTTAATGATGATTAATTAGTACTTAGCTAACACATCATGTTTCGATGAATTAATTTCATCTTTTTTAGGTTTGCTCGTCCAATTACATTTGGTGATTATCCGGAGAGCATGAGATCTTTGGTTGGAAGTCGACTGCCTAAATTTACCAAAGAACAGTCTGAGATGCTAAAAGGGTCCCTTGATTTTCTTGGCTTAAACTACTATACGGCAAATTATGCAGAAAGCGTTCCTTTGAAAGCTACCGGGGCTAACCTTAGTTATAATGACGATAAGCGTGTCAATCAAACTGGTATGCTAAAACTTTTTGACCCTTAATTTAATTAATTAGCTCTTATTTAATTTAATTTCTTAAATGATTCATTATATATTTAATCTTACCAATTATATCTTTTTGTCATCACAGCTGAAAAAAATGGGGTTCCCATAGGCACACCGGTATGGTTTTATTTATTACCATCATTTTTTGTATATTTGCGTATGCATAAAAATGAAGAGCGAATCATTCACTGAACTAGGGAATATAATTACTAAGCAGATTATGGTGTAAATGGTTTTGCAGACTGATTTGAACTGGCTTTTCGTCTATCCGAGGGGAATAGAAGATGTTCTGCTATACATCAAGGATAACTACAAAAATCCACCAGTTTATATCACCGAAAATGGTAAGATACTTGATGATTGTTTTGATAAACTAAACACTCCTACACCTTTTTGTTAACGACTAACTTTATTAATTATGTTCGTCTTGGCAGGAATTGCTGAAAATGCGTCGCGACCCCTTGCCGTTGCCCTTAAGGACAGTTGGAGAATCAGATACCACAGTGCCCACCTTTCATATCTTTTGAAAGCTATCAAGTCAGTATTTCTTTTATATGTTTGGTCTTTTTTATCAGATATCATGTTTGCCTTTTGTATTTTACGAAAACAAACTTTTTTATCAAACCCTTATTTAGAAAAAGAAAAAAATGCCGAAGTTATAATCGTGCAGTTTTAAGTTTGATTCTCTTATTAAATGAAGAGGAATGCTAAGCCATTGGTTGGCCATTGGCATGCAGGAAGGGGGTAAATGTGAGGGCATACTACATGTGGTCATTTTTGGACGACTTCGAATGGGATGCTGGCTACACTGTTCGCTTTGGTGTGACTTTTGTTGATTACAAGGATAATTTGAAACGCTATCTCAAAAGTTCTGCTAGATGGTTCCAGCTTTTGCTTACAAAGTAGTTAATTTATGTGCTCGATCTCTGGATAAAGTGTGTGGGAGAGGCAAAATAAGGACTAGGAGAGTAGAATCAACAATATTGGTTTCATTCAATACGGTTTTCTATTTTTGTATTCTGTCTCGAAAAATAAATGTTATTTGTTGTAAGCAGGATCACGTTAGTGAAATTGCTTGTCATCGTCATTCGTTACTTTCATTTGCTGCTCGTTTTATTCTTATGCTTAAAATCAACAAAGCTCTTCATATGTTAAAAAATGGAAATTTCAGAAATAGCATCAACTCCCATAACAGTAATTAAGTGTAGGTCAGAGTTCATATAGCATATTTATCTCATAAAATCTAATAAAAAAAGTAATCACCAAATATTTATCTCATAAAAAGTAATCATAGTGTTGACTATCGCGTATGATTACAATTGGACAACCATTCAATCAAGAAATTTTTGTAATTTCCTAAAAGCCCACCAACAGGATGATATATATATATATATAAAAAACAACCTTCATCGCTAAACAAACGATTAAATGGAAAGACCATGAAACCAAAATGTATAACTACACAAACGGGCCTCAATAGCATCCCTCCCAATCTTCTGAGCTTTTTGCAAAAATTCCTAAACTTCGGTAAAGAGATGGGCTTACCTTTGCAGGTTTCACTCTCTATTCAATGGTTTGAATCAAGAAAGAAAGGGTTTTCAGGATTTTATTAGGCCCATGACTGAGCTTGAGGAAATTCTTGAGTTGGCGGCATGAGGTTTCAACAATTATGAGTATTTTCAAAACTACTCATGCGTAATTTGAACTTAAGTGTTCTATTTGAGTAATTTAATAACGAATCCTTCTCGTCAGGCTAAGAAAAAATTATCTTATAAATTAAGATTAAGATTAAGAGAAATCTCATTTAATTACGTAAATTAAGAAAAGAGGAAATTTGGCTTTGTTATAGGATGTAGTTAAACATAATTTATCAAAAATAGTTAGTTTTAAGATTCAAATCTAAGCATACCAATAGCTTATTCAAACTAAGAGCTGGGCTTCACCTAAATCTGTGAAGGAGATATCACACAAAACAAAATTCATATATCCCTCTAGAAACAAAGTAGGTCCAATCCCCAGTTCGAAAAAGAAGGCCCAATTTTTTTGTTGGAACTACTCATCAGCCTAAGCCCATAGTTTCCTTCATCTAGAAATGGAATTTCTGAACCATGGGAAATTTTGTTAATAGACATTTCACAGCCAGTAATTTTCAATATAGGGATTTTGCAGTTGACCATAATTATTTTTTATTGGAGAAATAAGTATGACAATACTGTGATGATGGTCATGAAGAAAGCTGTCCACAGACCGTAAAAGAAGCCAAGACAAAGAACAAGAGATGCTGATTTATTAAGAAAAAAATAATGCACATGGGAGGGACAACACCTCACATGAAAGTAAATAGCATTGCTTTGCCATGCTTCCTCGATTCAAAACATTCTCTGTTTAGTTCATGTTTTCTAGTCATCTTAATCTACCCTACTTATCCACTTAGTCATGGAGTATTATTTATCACATAGGCCACTTTGTGAGGACAATAAAAATTGGATGGAATCCATGATCCGATATGCATGAAAAAAACTTATTTAAAAATCTTTAAAATATATTAGATAAATTGATATAAAAATTAAGACTGTCTGTATAGTTGGAGAAATTGTCAAGTAAATTTAGTGTATAATATTATGCATAAACAAGGCATATAAATAAAAAAAGCAATACATTTTCACCCAATTATGTATGAATTCTACATGATTTTATGTATGTATATTTTTTTTATTATTAACTTAATTTATAAATGATATGATAGACTAATAATTTGTCTGTATAATCACAAGATGACAAACTTGATTACTGGTCAAAATTGCCCTACATGAAACAAGAACAATTAATTCTTTGGGGATGACATGGTCTTATCCTACGTACGGTGGTGCCCTCTGTATCCAAAAGTGCCAAACAAAAGACCCACAGTATGTTTTTCTTTTTATCCACAATCTATTTTTGGATTATTTACTATTATAATCACTATGCTATATTATCTTAGCTTCGTCGAATCATCATAGATAAATAAATAATCTTACATCTTTTGACTAAGCCTGAATAACTGTGACATAGATTTTCCATAAAAATGTGTGAATGATTTAATTTATGTTATGGAGATCTTCAAAGTTAAATCTAGATACCTTTTCTTTTAAAGAAATCTGTGCAAATGAAGTTAATTTTCATGTATCACATGGTTAACGATTCCAACGGATATTTATAGCATTCATTGTGAAAGAAGTCATCTCAAGTTCAATGAATTTGTCAAAACTTATTATTATTTTTTTTCAATAAATTGATTTGTGGTAGAAAATGTTTATTCTCTTCTTTAATTTAATTTTATGCGTTCTAATTTTCGGATTAGTATTAAAAAAATTAAACTAAATTTTAGAATGATACGAAGTTACACTTTTAAGTCTGTATAAAAAAAAATTCAATTGACTGGCGAACCAACTTGAAAATACTCATTATTGTGAAATAAAAAAAAATCTTTTTTATTTTTTTATATATCAATAGATAATGTGATATTTTTGAATTAGTTTTTACATAAACTGATATTAAATTTATCACTTTTCGAATTAAACATACATCAAAATATATATATCTTTTAGATCAAATCGACTCAAATCTCATATCATTAAAAAATAATTATTATTAATTATTCGTGAATAAATTGAACCTTGGTCTATTTTTTTTAAAAAAAATTCAAGGCCTCCTACAATGGCTTTTGTTTAGTCAAATTTATATTCAAGGCTTGTACAAATTTACTATAATTAACGAGAAATTTTCTTTTATAGTGAAACTGATTTTAATAATGAGACAGATCTCGCTAAATATTCTAGAATATGATAAGTTAAAATCTACTTGTTGCAACTATTAGTAATTTATTTAGGTTATCTCGTTAACTTTTGATTTAAAGAAAAACAGTAATAAAACATCTGGTTAGAAATAATATTTCTAAAAATTATAATATCATTTCTAAATCTGAATAATAATAAAAAAAATTAAGGAACAATTTAATATTTTTATTCTAACTAATATTGTCTCCATTCTTCAAAAAAAATTAACTCGTTTATTATGGAACATATTTATATTTTAAATTATTTTTATCATAATTACTCAAGTAAAAATAGATTCTAATTATGATTCGAAGTAAAAAACAATTCTTTATAAACAATGTTAAATGAACTCACCAAGAATTGTAGCTCTCTCGTCGTTTAGAAGAAGAACTTCCCACGTGCATGATTGGGGATAAAAATAATAGACTTGAAGTGACAAATTTTCTTTTATGTCCTTCACTTTTAACATGATTGAAAAACAATGAAATGCCTATTTGATATTACTGTGTTTTTTAAGCATAATTATTTTCATATGTTGTCGGTATAAAATCTATATTTAATTATAGTTTGATGGTTTATTAAGCAAATTACTTCGATCAAAGCAGTTTTTAATCAAAGCAAAACAATTTATTATTAAAAAAAAGTAAAACAATTAATTGCCAAATGTTCTTTTTACTAATGTTAGCACCATTACTTGGAAAAACAACTTGATGAATTTTCGTTAATGTGACCTTTGTGCAGACAGAGAGGGTTTCGAGGCATCATTCACATTAATTATGTGGTGCCAAGTAGGGGACTAGATAATGTGGTGCCATCCTTTCTTGTTAGAGAAAGCATATAATAGCTGGAAACACAAATTACTTTCTTCTTATATACGTCAGGAAAAAAATACTATAATTAGACAATCCATTCCAATTCACATCATTGTTTTTTTTTCCCCCTTGTGCGTGGGGTTACTATATCATTGGACCTTGAAGATGAGTAAATTATAAATTAGTTCTTTTAGTTTTTCGAAAGTAATCAAATAGTCTTTTTGTTTCAATAATTAATTAATTAGTCCTTGTATTTGTAAATTTGTTTGCAACTTAATCATTTTATTCTTTTTAATTTATTTTGTTTTTTATTTTAATAAATAGAAAAAAATATAAAATATGAAAAGATTATGAAAAAATAAGATATATTTTAGAAAAAAATAATTTTAAATTAACTTTGATCAACATTGATCAAGGATTAAATAATTAATTTTTAAAATAAAATAGACTATTTAATTTATTTTGGGAAACTGAAAATGCTTATTTATAATTTATTCTCTTGAAGATAAGTTGGATGACAGGCTAGAGAGCACATGAAAGGAAAAGTATAGAGCATGTTAATCAAGAATACCTTCACAAGGGGTTATAGAATTTTTTATCCATGACGTACGTTCCCCAATCTTTACGACTCACCATTACCTGGAAGGTAGGATTATGGACATTTAGGATAAGGTAATAAGGCATGATAAAATTATGTTTTTGCCCATTACAGAGGTATTTTACTTAACAACCAATAAATATTATTATAAAAAAAATTATTTGAATGTGCATACATCCTTGTCTATTTCACAAATATCTGACCAAAAACCAAGCATAGCTCGTATGATATCGTTCAAATTAATATATATATATATATATAAAGACACATATAGCAATGTATTAAGCTAATTTTTTTTTTTAGAAAAACTGATGGAAAAAGTGGACTTGGCATGTAAAAGTTAATTGGAGAATATCTCTAGTAATAAGAAAAATAGACAAGTGCATAAATTACTTTTGAGTCCCTAAAAATCATTTTTATCTCATTAGATTTCTTAAATATCTATAAATTCTCAATTGAGTTTTTCATCTAAATTCTTCTGAAAACATGTTGAATTCAATTGTCTTGGAAGACATGCATGCGAGTCAATTGAAAATTATCTAAAGCTATGACGATATAATTGTTCATCATCTTAATTCAGAATCCCTATATAGTTGGGGGACTTATTTGAAGTTTGTCCCTTTTCTGTTTCATTAGTTGATATTACAGATTTTTCTCGAGTCTTCACAGAACTTTGGGAAATAATATGGTTTTTTTTTTCTCTCCCTAACTTGTCTTTCCTGTAGGAAAATTTGCACTACCCTGATCCAGAATCCAGATGTACGTATGGGCCACGATCTCGAAAACTGCTAGCAGCCTAGCACTTTAATTCTTAGGCCCATGTTAAATAATTAACACACATTTTACTCCTTTCTTTTCCGTTTTCCAATCAGGGGGAAAAAATCATTTTGAGCCATGAAAAGGTGTTGCATCGTCATTGTTTCAATACACCAATATATATTTTTTTTGAAAATCTTATTTTTCTTTGCAATGAATATTTTTATTTGTTAGAAAAATACGTGTAGGAATAGATTAATAACTCTTTTGTATAAGAAACATTGAAATTTTTATATCTAAAGGTATCTAAAAGAACTCTTTTGTATTTATGTGGAAGCCAAAACTCAAAAAATTATTCATGAAAAAGATTTTTTTGTTTTTAAAGTACCATTGATTTAATAGTTCATGAATATTAATATATTCTTTTAAACTCAATGTTAACTAATAACATTACAGAAATAAAATTCCCTATGAAATAAACCAATAGGGACGTTTTTATCTCCATTATAGAAAGCAGGGAACGTTGTTCCCGATGCCAAAAAAAAAAAAAAAAAGGTAAGCAGGGAAGAGGTGCATTTTCTTTCAATGACTGTGTAAAAAGCCCCAAGTGATGCCAGATAGTAAAGAGCTTCTATGAGCCAAATAATACAGGTTGCGCTTATTGAGAAAGGGGAAACTACCAAAAATTAAGAGGACATAAATACACATGGGAAGGAAACAATGCTCACATGAAAGGAACATGGGCCTCTGTGCCTTGCTTCCTCGATGCAACACAACCCTTTCTCTCACAGGGACAATGGCTACTTTATATTAGGTCTGAATTTGTTGAGGACCCATTTGATTCGATGAAGACAAGAAAAATGAGAAACAAGATTCAATTGCCCTTGGGAATGAGAAATTAGAATGCAGAATAAGAGGATGAAAAGGTCTTTCAAAAGGAAGGGGTGCCTTTATGCATCAAAAGTGTCAAATAAGTGACCCACTTCAGTTTCTCTCTAGTCCATCTTACCCAGGAAAAAAAAAAGAAGAAAACCATTCTGCATGATTGGGATGGTAACCAGAATGGGAGGTAAGCGCCCATTTGGTCGGTTTCGATTTCAACGAATTCAATTCAGCTTCTTAATTATTAAATGAATTTGCAAAAATTGAAACCGAATTCAAATTAAAATATGATTCATTTTTCAAAATTTTAATGTTGAAAATTTCAGTTAGTTATTCAATTTTTCAACCTGAATTGTTTTTTAAATAAAAAAAATGATTCATGATTCTTGATTCCCTAAATTTTTGTTGTGGGTTAAATCTTTCATGATTATTTGATATGTTAAAAGACCTTCTTTAGTTTTTTTTTCTTCCTTTTTTGCACCAATTTATGTTTTTAAAAAAACATTTCAAAGTTTTAAACTTCCAATCAATTACAAAATAGTATCAAAGATATAAATATTCCAATCAAATAATATACCTCATAACTCATAAATATAATATTTATTTAGCAATTAACCACAAAAAAAAAAAAAAACTGAATTATTTCACTCCATAACCAGAGTAAGCTCTGTAACTATGCAAGAATTGCATATCCACCAATTATGATACAATTGAATTTCAAAAATCGATTGTTATTAGAAGTACTTGTTAAATTCATCAATCAAATTATTATTCTTATTTTTTAAAAAAAAATTATAAATACACCTTTTTCTAATATATATTATATAATAGTTATTGACAATTGATGAATGATGTATTAATAATTATATTTGTTAAGATTATTATAACTTATTAAACTTTCCGTTACTTGCCTAAGATTAATAATGTATTTCATGGGGATTCTCAAAATTTAATACTTTCATATTAGGGAGGATTTAAAAGAAAACCGAAAATAAAAGTAACGTAAATGAGGAAGGAAAATGTAAGAAAATAAAACTTTCTCTATGGAAACAGAAAAAAGAAAAGAAAGAAAAGAAATGGAGAGAGAATATGTAAAGATATATAAAATTTTAAATCAAATTTTTTTTAGTTGTATCCAATTTTATTCCCTTGCGCCATATCTAACGCAAATGCGTCCGGAAATATACAATATAACAATTATGAAACGCCATTGTAATTTATATTTATAAAAACATTTTTTTTCCATAGTAATTGTAAGAGAATGATTATAAAAATCAGCTTTGTTATAGTGTAAGATCATACTTAGGTATGTGTCATGGCTCCTTTTGTCTCTCGGTTTGCTCGCATGAAGGTCATCTCAATGAAACATTTTAGGAGAAGAGTGAGAAAATCCTCTTTCCCATCTCTCGTCGCATTTCTTCTATATATATAGCGGTAACAAACATTCAAAACAAATTTCAAAAAAGCCGACTAAATAATACAGGGGCGAAATTCCCTAATTAACCTTGGCGATTACAAATTCAAAACACATGTGTAAAATACGTGTAAGGGATGTCAATACTCCCCTCAAGTTGGAGCATAAAGGTTGAGAATGGCCGACTTGGACAATTGCAAGGTAAAGGTCTGTAGAAGCTAAGGGCTTAGTAAAACAATCGACTAATTGGTTAGTGGAATACACAAGAAAAAGATGAACAATCCCATGCTGGAGCTTTGCTCTCACAATATGGCAATCAATCTCAATGTGTTTGGTCCTCTCATGGAAGACATGGTTCTTTGCTATGTGGATAGCAGATTGATTGTCACAAAAGAGGAAGGTCGAGTGAGAATGCGATACATGAAGATCGCGGAGGAGATACAAAAGCCATTGCACTTCACAAGTGGCCGAGGCACCGTATTTGGCCTCGGAAGAAGATTTGGAAATTGTTAGCCGCTTCTTGGATTTCCAAGATATGAGGGATGATCCAAGAAAGACACAAAAGCCAATAACGGATCTTCATGTGTCAACACAAGTTCCCCAATAAGAGTCGGAGATACCTTTGAGTTGAATTTGAGAATGGGAAGCAAAAAAAACCTCGACCAAGAGCACCCTTAAGATAACGAAGGATGCGATGTGCTCGCCGTGAGATGAGCCCGGTTAGGCTTGTCCGAAACCGAGATAATTGTTGGACAAGCATTACGGATGTCGGACCGCGTATTGGTCAAATATAGCAATCAACCAATCGATCATCGATAAGGAGAAATGTCGAAAGAGGAGTGTTATCCTCGCACTTAGCTTAACAGATGGACAACATAGGAGATGGAACATGTTTGGCACCAATGAAACCCGTATCTTGCAAAGCAATTCTAAGGAATATTTCCTCTAGCACAAACTAATACCACGAGAAGACCTTGCAACCTCAAGGCCTAAGAAGAACTTCAAAGCACTTAAATCTTTGATTCGAAGGTAGCATGGAGAAAAGCCTTCACTCGCTTCAATTTCAATCAAGTTATTGTCGGCTAAAATAACATCATCTATATAGATGAGTAAGGTAATGAAAGATGTCGAAAAAGACTTAACAAACAAAGAAGGATCCGAGACACCCTATAGAAAACCTTTGGCAAGCAGAGTAGTAGACAATTTTGCATACCATTGTTGATCGGCTTGCTTAAGCCCATAGAGAGATTTCAATAACCTATAAACTTGGTTTGAAGAAGAGCTCGAAAGCACAAAGAGAGATCCATATAAATTTCTTCATCAAGGTCTCCATGAAGAAAAGCATTATTGATGTCCAATTGGTGTAAGTGCTAATTGTTAACTGCTGTAACCGCTAACAAAATCCAAATGGTAATCATTTTGGCCACTCGGAGAAAATGTATCCATATAATCCACACTCGCCTACCGAGTATAGCCCTTAGCAACCAAGCGAGCCTTATACCTTTCTAGGGAGCCATCTCGCCTTATACTTGATTTTATAGACCCATTTGCACCATATGCCCCGTTTACCGTGGGCGAGTAGTGAGTTCCCAAATGTGATTATCTTATAAAGCCTTGATTTCTTCATGCATAGCTATTTTCCAATAATCATGCTTAAACAGACTTCATGGTAAGTCCGTGGTTCTACAACGATGAGAAATACTAACACTAAAAGTTTTATGAGGTAGCGAACACTTTGAGTAAGAAAAGATAGAATATAAAAGATGAGAAGTAGTAACTTGTGTGAAAAAGAGATGTACAACCAAGCATAAGGCAAGGCTTGAGATAATTGACTTTGTAAGGTACAATGATAATCTTGAAGATATGTAGGTGTATGTTTAGGTCGTG